CATTTAAAAATGGAATTGAAAAGAATTGAAATTCTGATAAGAATTTTATTATTTATATATAAGAATAATTGAATTTTTTTACAAAGATTTTTATTATTTATAAATTGAATTTTTGCAAAAAACTTTACTATTTTCAAGAATATTGAGATAAATTCTTAAAAACAATTCATTTATTTTAAAGAATTTTAATAAAAACAGAGGTTCGGATAATCCAAGTTCCACTGTACTTATTTACTTACAGTAAATTAACAGTTGAGTTGATATGTAAGGGAGAATGGGGTAACCCCAAACACTAAAGCTTATCGATTATCCAAAACGGTTTTCAAGTTATTTAAAAATAGGAAATAAAAAAACTGAGTCAATATGTCAAAAATAAAATTAATAATCTGTATTAAGTATCGTTTATAATTTATTTCAATAGTAAAACACATTATTATATTAGAAATTAAGAGTTTCCGGGGATAACCGCTGTCCGGGGCTACCCAATTCTCCCCTACATTTTATTTATTCTTTATTATAATTTATAAACTCTTCACAATTTTACCAAAAAATGTAGACTGTAATTGTTTATATGTAGTTAAATAGTTATAACAGAAAATTGTTTGTATACCGTTATATAGTTATAACAGAAAATTTGTTTAATAAAAAAGGTTATATTTTCTATAATTGTTTCGTATGTATGTATTTATTTATTTATCAAGATATTTTAAATTGTTCAAAGCTAAAACTACATAATATTTCATCTTGAACACTGTCCACAAACAGATTCTAAATCTTGAATCCGCAAAGTTTTGCGATAATAATGTAATTTTTAATGTCCAACAATATTTATGAAAAAAGGATTATGAGGGCGCCTAAAAGTCAGAGAAGTCAGTAAATTTGAAAGATTTTTATTCAAAGTAAGGTAAGTTTTTATAAATTTATAGAAAAATTAAAATTTTTTGTAAATTTAAGAATTTTCTAATTTAACAAAATTTAAATTGTTTTTATTACTATGTTTGTTACTATCATCAAATGTTAATTTCTTGTTAAATGTCAGTAACCATATTTCTGTCTTAAGAAAGTAGAATATTTAATTTCTTTTGTTGTTTTGTTTACAATTTCATTTTACGAAATTTCGATTATTCTGACATTCTTCAATTAAATACATATTAGAAATTAAAAACTTGAAATAATTAAAAAAAACTCCATTAAATTTTTTGAAAACAATTAATTCTACAGAATTCTTAATTAAAAGTATGAAAAGTTCAAATTTTTAAAGATTTTAATTTCAAACCTTTTGAAAATTCAATTATTTCTAAAAATCCACAATATAATTATTTCAATATTCAATTGTAATCTGAAATTTTAACTGAATTTCATTTTTAAATTATTATTATTATTTTATTGAAAATAATTGAATTCTTGAGACGAATTTTATTAAAAATTTTTCTTAAATAATTGAATTCTTTTGTAAAATTTTATTGAAATAGTAGACATTAAAAACAATTGAATTTTGACAAATTTTGGAAATTGAATAAATTTCTACGAAGAATTTGATTAAAATTATTTTGAAAAAATTTGAATTGTTACAAAAAATTTGATTAAAATTTTGGAATATAATTTAATTCTATGAAGAAATTTCAATAAAATTTGTAAGAATAATTATATTTTTCGAGGAATTCCATTAAAATTGCATTAAAAATAATTTAAATTCTACGCAGAGTTTTATTATTTATGAAAAAATTAATTCCGAAAAAGCATTTAATTATTTATGAAAATAATTAAATGAATTCTTTTGGCAATTTTTTATTAAAGTAGTAGATATGAAAAATAATTGAATTGAGAAAAGTTCTTGAAAATAATTAAAATTGTAGAAAATAATTGAATTTTTGAGAAGAATTTGACTACTTTTGAAAATAATTGAATTTCTGCATTCATTTGTAATTGCATTAAAATTCAATTTGTTTTAGTTTTTTTAACTAAAATTCTTCTATAAATCCATTATTTTTAATAATCAACTAAATATATTAAAAAATTTAACTAATTTCAGAAGAATTTTATTTTCTAACATTTTTTAAAAATCTAGGTTTTTTTAAAATTCATTTAAAATTGAAATTTTACAAAATTTCAAATTAATTAATTTAAAATTAAAAATGTAATAATAATAATTATTATTATTTTAAATGTTAATAACTATTTCATTTATTTAATGTAAAAAGCAACAAAATAAGTAAGAGTAATTCGTGTTCTTATTTTTTCAAAATTTTGAATAAGCGCGCCATATGCGGCCATCTTTCCACCTTGGCCAATCAAGGGTGTAATTTTTCCAGTTCAACGAGTAAAAAGCCTGTAATTAATTCAAAACGCAACATTTAATATTATTTTTCTGGCCCTTAATAAACTCTCTTTTCGTGCTGGCATTTTACCCTCACGCGTGCGACTCGCACTTTGTGACAAGAATATGCGACCACATGGATGACACTTATGGGTGGTCATTTGCCCTCACCAAGTGAGACTTCGTCGCACGCTGTGGGTGACGCTTTACAAGCATATGCGCTCACTTTTGTTATCTGGGGGTTAAAATTGATTTAAATAAAGTAATAATATTACACTCAGAAAAAAATTTGTTCGAAACAACCAAATTTTGGTTGAATCAACCAAATAAATGCATTGCTATACAGTAGTCAACCAAACGTTTGTTTGATTCAACCAAAAAATTTCTTCCAATACGTTTATTTGTATTAACCAAATGCTTATTACACTTAACCAAAAAATTTTATTTAATATAACTAAAAAATTTGTTTATTTCAAGAGAAAAGATTTGTTTGATTCAAATAAATAGTTTTAGTAAACGTATTTGGTTCATTTAAATAAATATTTTTGTTTACTTAATTTTTATTATTTATTTTCCTCTAATAATATTTGAATTTCCTAATTTAATATTTTCTAGTACATATTATTGGTTAATTTATAATTTATTATATAATTATTGATATTTTAAAATTATACATATAATAAATTATAAATTAACCAATAATATGTATACTAGAAAATATTAAATTAGGAAACTCAAACATTATTAGAGGAAAATAAATAACAATTAAGTAAAATATTATATATGTATTTCTTCATATAAACAAAATTACTTAATTATAAAAAAAACATTTTAAATATTACATTAAACATATTATATGATTTTTATACGTGCACTCAGGAAAAAGTTTATTCGAAACAACCAACTGAAAACTTCACAAAACCTTTTTGTAAATATTCTTCTCACTGGTACAAATTAAATATGCAGTAAGTCAATGAACACAATGTATTTAATATTTATTTAACCGACACTTATAATTTTTTTTCTTTGATTTACCGATTTAACAAATAAATTTGACGCGAACGCGGACTGTAGACAAGTGAGATCGCCATTTTTAAATTCACACATGTACTTTTTGAGACAAGCAAATATTTTTGTTCGACTCAAATAAAATGATTTGGTTGAATCAAACAAATTTGTGTGTTGTGTCGAACAAACTGTATTTAACTAAACAATATTCTCTATTCAAAACACAAATTTGGTTAAATGAAACAAACAACTTCAAATAAAAAATTTCTTTCCAATAACCAAACAAATTTTACGTATTTATTAAAATAAACCAAATTTTTATTTAAATCAACAAAATTGTTTTATCGTGACAAATAAAATAGGTTAATTAAACAGTTTGGTTAAGTGAAATAAACTTTTTCTCTGAGTGATAATTCAAGTTTAACTATGTCAACATAACTTAAAGACATAAATAATCTCAGAGTAAAGTTACTAATGATTCATTTAATTTACCTTTTTCTTCAGAAAAAGGTCCAAAAATGTATTTAAATGAAGTCAAAATAATTTAACAGTTTATTACAGACTGTTGAATTTTATTTTAATTAAGTACTATCAGAATTTGATATCTTGATTATTCTTGAGATTTCCCCCCAAAAAATGGGGGGTCGGTTTCGGACCACCCATTTGGAGAAAGTTAAAAACGTAAATTTTCGCTTTTTCTTTAGATCTTTTATTAATGACAATCAGAAACCTCGGCAACCGTCAGAAAACATTGAAAAATAGTTCCTTTACTCAAAAAAATTTTGACGAAGACAAAGAAACACATTTTTGGCACATTTTTTAGCCTTTGCACTTTAGGGGGTCGGTATGGGACCACCCTCCCCTACTTATTTAGAAAATAATTGAATTCGTGTGATAAATTTATTGTTAATTATGAAAATAATTGAAATTTTTTAACGAATTTTAATAAAATTTTTAAAAATAATTGAATTTTGTCGAAGAATTTTGCTATTTATTTATAAAGATAATTGAAATGTTGACAATGTTTTAAAGATTTTTTGAAAATAATTGAATTTCAGAGAAGAATAAAATTTTAATATTTCTAAAGATAATTGAAATTTTGACGAGAATTTAAAAAAATTTTTGAACATAATTTAATCTTTGCGAAGAATTTTATTACTTTTAAAAATAATTGAATTTCTGCAATCATTTGTAATTTCTCTAAAATTCTCCAAATTATATCGTACAATTTACAAACTTTTCATCCTTTTTGAATGAAATTACGGACTTTACGGACCTTTTTTCAAAAAAACGGACTTTTACGGACTTTTTCAGGATTTACGGACCTACTTCGAGCCCTGAGTAATTAATAGGTAGAGATATTAAATAGAATATAGATAAAAACAATAATAATAAATAAAATTCAAATTATTAGAAATTGGCGCGGTAATGATGAGTTTCCAGATTCTTAAGTCCAACGCACAATAGGTTCGCGAAAGTCGATAGACAAGGACACAAATATATCTCTGTCCTTTTCTAACTCATGCTTTGCGTTCGCGAACGACTTTCGCGAACCTATTGTTACAGAGTTACATTCCTATATATAGCCATAATGAAAACATTTAAAATGTTGAGAATAGATACTGGTGAATGAGGCTTAATACCCACATGTTCCGTTGTCATGGTAACCTGTCAAAACAAAAAGATGTCACAAGTTTATTGTCACGTACACAAAGTAAATAAATATTTCACAATAAATGTAATTATTAATTTTTCCAAATAGTAGTATAATTAATTTAATTTAATAACTATAATTTATCACAAAGAACAATGAGATTTAAAATTTCATTACAAGAGAGAAAGAATAGTATAAAATTAGTAACTTGTGTTGCATGGAGTTCTACAGATGAAATATATTCCTGCGGGTTTGTAATTTTAATTTAAACAATAGTATCAATTGAAAGAGTTTGCTTTTTTTGTATAAACAAATAGAATATTCTATTTTGATAAATTATTTTCTAATAAGGAGAATTTTATTCTTTAGTGAAGATCATCAATTAATATGTTGGCACTTGGAGAGTGGAATGTTAAATTCCTCTGTTGTTGCGGAATTCCCTTCAGACTTTTATCCAACGGATATGCAATATTATCCTCGACCATCTCAAACGACAATTTCTTCATCAAAGAAACAATCGTTGGATGTTCTCTTAATAACAACTACAGACGGTTAGTTATTTTTTTGAGAATAAAATACAAATTTTGATAATTTAGTAAAATTGTAATTTTCTTTTTAAAGGGAAATTTTATTTGATAAGCAAAAGTGGCCGAATTGAAAAAAGTGTATCTGCTCATGTAGGCGCAACTCTTGTTGGAAGATGGAGTTACGATGGTTCTGCATTTTTCACTGGTATTAAAAATTAAATAAAAAAAAAAAAATTAATATATTTATTTTTAAAGTAGTAAAAGAAAAAAATTATAAAATTATTTTTTTAAATTTACTATAAATTTAATTACTAAGTAATGTTTTCAAAATTTACTTATAATTTATTAATTTTAGTGGCCAAACATTCAACGGCCGAACAATAATTAATTTCATAATAAAATAATTGATTTGCAGCTGGAGAAGATGGACTCATTAAAATATGGTCACGTAGTGGAATGTTACGATCGACATTAGTTAGAGGAACGTTACCAATTATGACAGCAGCCTGGAGTCCCAATTCTTCCGTGATTCTTTATTCTCAAGGAGCTAATCTTATTTTACAATCACTTAGTTCAAATTCAAAACCACAGAAGGTAATTTCTTGTTTAAAATTTACACAGAGTCGCCACAGGTCAGGGAAATCAGGGAAAAGTCAGGGATTTTTATTAAAAGTACTGGAAGAAACTAAATTTTTAGAATTCATAAGAAAATTCTGAATTTTTTTGTCTTTTTCGTTTGCCTCATAAACTATGAAATTATCACGAATTCTAATACAAAACCTTCAATTTTTTATATTTCTGACAATAATTTCTTTTTAAATAACTTCATTCTTTGAGAACTATCATCCAATTATTATTGATAAATTATTTAATGAATAATTTTACTTAAATATTTCAAAATTAATTGAATTTTAAAAGAGTTGCGTTTACAATTTTCATAATTAGATGAACTTCAAAAGATTTTAATTTGAAATTTCATAAAATTTCAATTTTTAATAAATTTCACTAGAAATATTAAAGAACAAAGGTTTTTGAAAACTAAAATGTTCAAAATTTTCAAAAAATTCTTTAAAAAATTTCAATTATTTTCAGAAGTATCTAATAAAATTATTATCTAAAATAAATTTTGGATTATTTTCAAAATTTTCCTGCATTTAATGATTTTCAATATACTATTTCAGTAAATTTTTCTAAAAGAATTCAATTATTTAAAAAAATTTTTAATGAAATTCCACGCAAACATTTAATTATTTTCATAAATAATTAAAATTTAACAGGAATTTAATTATTTAATTAATTTAATTTAATTCGAATTATTTAAAATTTTTTAATACAATTTTAAATGAATGTTTCGAAAAATTCAATTATTCTTGAAAATTGTAATACAATTCTTCGTAGAAATTAAATTATTTTCAATACAATTCGAATTGAATTCCTAGAAAGAATTTAACTATTTTCAAAAATATTAATGAATTTCTTTAAAGAATTAAAATTATTTTTAGTAACATTAATATAATTGTTTGCAAGAATTTAATTACTTTTATAAATAATAAAATTCTTCGCAAAAATTCAGTTTATTATTTTCATAAATAATAAAATTCGTCGAAGGTATTCAATTATATTGGTTTCAACTCCTTGAATAAATTTTTTTGATTGAATTTTAATTATTTTTGAAAAGGGATTCAATTATTTTCATAAATAATAAATTTCTTTTTAGAAATTCAATTATTTTTATAAATAATAAAACTCATCGTAGAATTTAAATTTCAAAAGTTTAAATTTGAAAATTTGAAAATCTTAATTCCTATGGAAAAACAATAATGATTAAATACTTATTTAAAAATGAAGTTATTGATGTTTTCAAATAATTTTACAATGAAATAAATTTGTAATTAAAAGTATTACAACATTTTTTTTGAGTATTTAATAATTTTTAGAATAAATCAGAATTTTCATTATGGTCAGGGAAAAAGTAAAAATTTTGTCTGGAAATTAGGGAAAAGTGAGGGAAAAACAAAATTAAATATTTGTGACAACCCTTTGACACTAGTTTTTTAAATCATTGTTATTATTTTAAATTCTAGAAGAAAAAACTAAAAAAAAAATACAATTTTATTTTAGTGGATGGCTCACGATGGCCTAATACTTTCATTGTCATGGAATCAGTGTAATGATCTTATTGTCACTGGTGGAGAAGATTGTCGATACAAAGTGAGTGATTATTTTCAAAAAAATTTCCAAATCAATAATTTGATTTATAATTTTTAATATTTTTGTCATAATATGCAAGGTTTGGGACACAATTGGAAATCAACTTTACAGTAGTGGTGTCAATGAACATCCGATAACTTCCGTCAATTGGTGCAATTCTGGAAATTATTTTTCAATTGGTTCTTTTAATACTGTTAAACTTTGTGACAAAACTGGAGTAATTATTATTATTATTACTGTTATTATCATTATCATTTCTATTATTATTATTATTACTGTTATTATTAAATATTTTTAATTATCTGCCTATAAATATTTTACTATGAATGTTAATTTTTTAGTGGTCACATTCGTTGGAAAAATTAAATATTGGCAGTGTTTTTAGTATCGCTTGGTCTAGTGACGGTACACAAGTGGCAATGGCATGCGGAAGGGGAATAGTTCTCACAGCTCATATAATTGACAGGTAATTTAAATTACAATTTTTTAACAAAAATAACAAAGTTTCATTACAGAAAAAAAATAATTGAAATTTACAGGAAATTAGAGTGGAATAATTTCGAAGCAACTCTTATAAGGCGAAAAGCAATAGAAATAAAAGAAATAGGCACAGAATGTCGGGAAATTTTAGAAATAGCCGACAGAGTTGTTCTACTGGAATTTGGATTTGATCATTTGGTTGTCATCACTCCCAGTCAATGTCATATTTACTCGACACTAAATTGGAATACTCCGGCAATATTTGATTTAAGAAGTGGCTCAGTGTCAACGGTTCTTCTTGCAGAAAAGTATTTTAAACACTTGACTGAAATAATTCATTATTATTATAACTAAATTATTTATTATTATTCTTTTTTCTAACTAAATATAACTAAAACTAAAAAATAATATATGTAATTATAATTAATTGAATTAATTTTGAATTTATTATGTTTCATTTAAAATTATTCAAATATAATTCACATTGATAATTAATTTTCGAATTTTTTTGTAGACATTTTCTGTTAGTTGAATGGAACATAATAACTCTTTACAATTATCAAGGACGATCATTGGGTACTCCGAAATGGAAAGGAATGTCTCAAGAATTGTTGCATCCGTCAAGCATATCCTTGTGTTCTGATACATTAGTTGTCAGAGATCAAAGTAGTGAAAAATGTAAGTAATTAGAAAATTCGTTTCCTTTTTCGAATTATTTACTTTTCTTCACGGAGAAAACTGGATATTCAAAAGTAGATATTGAAAAAATATATTAACTCTTAACATCAAAAATATTAAACTTCAATATCTAGATATTCAAATCACATGCTAGATATTAACGCTTAACATCCAGATATTTACTTTTAATATCTAGATAGCTGTCCCTATGTTAAAAAATAAAAATATTAAACTTTAACATCTAGATGTTTACCTTAAATATCCATTTCTCTCCGTGTTTTTATTTAATATCGGATTTAATATATTTAATATATTAAGGAACGTTTGCAATAGTACTGCACGTGTTGGACATTTCCTATGCGAAACCAATATCAGAACTTCAGTCGTATGTTCACTTGGAGAATGTTAAACAATTGGCTTTAAATCACGTTGGTGGGATAAATAATCGTCAGTTGGCAGTTATCGACATTAACAGGGATTTATTTCTAGTCTCCATCAGATCTACTGGATTTGGTCGAGTTTGCAAAATTGGTAATAAATCATATACTTTTTAATTTACAACTCAAATGTCTTTATTTAATTCTACTTTCTACTTAATACTCAAGTCAAAAGGCAAAACTTTCGACTACTGTGACTTAGAATTTTTGTTTTAATTCCGAATCAAATTTTTTTAGCTGTCATGGCTCAGAGCATTGTTTGGGCATGTGATGCTGACGTTCTAGTCGCAATGTTGGACGCAACACTGTCGGTTTGGCTTTGTCCAAATTGCGTTCATTATAGTGATCGAAAGGCAATTAAAAAAACGAGAATCGATAAAGAAAATAGGTATGATTTCTACTCAAGTATTTTACTGTTTTGGTTTTATTTTTAATTTTATTGAATTAAAAATTGTATTTTTAATTCGAAAATATATTTTTATAACAAGGAAAATAAAATTTCAAAAAATATATTAAATTAAATTAATTAAATTGAAAAAAATGAAATAAATAAAAAAAAATTTTGTTTTTCAGCGAATATGGAAAGCAACCGAGTATTGTGAGGGTTCAAAATGGAATGGTCACTGTTAGACGAGGTGATGGAGCTTTAGTCGTTTCTTCTTTTTATACATTCTTTACTAATTTACATAGACATATTTTACAGAACCGTTGGTCAGAAGCACTTTCACTTTGTCGAATTGCACAGGTAATTTTTTTTTAAATTACTCTTTACATACGAAAAAAAATTGTTAATATTGTCAATATTCTCGACAGAATGAAATTCTATGGACTTGCATGGCAGTCATGGCAATAGACAGCAAAGAATTGACAGTTGCTGAAGAAGCTTGTGCAGCAATTGGCAGATTTGACAAAGTTGAATTCATTCAGTACATTAAGGTAGTAATCTTACGTAAAAATTCCGATAATTATATATTTGTAAGTAAACTTTCCATTTAGTAAAAAACGTTACTTTTCTTTTTCTATAGGTTTACAGAGAATTTTAATTCTTTCATAATAAAAAAATATGTTTAGTTAATAGTTAATATTCAGCGATTTGGATTTTTCACAACGTAATTTTTAATCTTAAATAGGGCTTGTCGAAGAAATCCGAACTATTGGCAGAAACGGCTTTACTCGCGGGAGATTTATTGGCAGCGGAAGGTATATTACTTCAGAATGGTTTAGTGAATGAAGCGATTCGAATTAATATTCAAATTTACAATTGGAACAGGTAAACTACTATAGTATTATTATTAAAATTATACTTTTTAATAATAATTTAATGCATAATTTAAATTTTCAAGGGCTCTTGAACTTGCGCTAAAACATAAAAAGCAACTGACGGAAATTCTTAGTGCGAGGCAAAATTATCTTCAATTATTGGATAAGCAAGAAACAAATCAAAGTTTCCTTGCTCTACTGTCAAATATTTCAAAAACAAATACAAAGGTATATTTTGATTATTATTTATTACTTTCTTTTTTCAACGTTTTACTTTCAATATTCGATGTTTTGAACATTCGGGAAGTTGAACTTTCGAGGATTTTAATTTTTTAGATTTTGAGCATTCGAAATTGATCTTTCGAGGTTTTAAAGAATATTCTAGTTTTTGAACATTCAGGGAGTTAAAATTTCGACATTTTGGATTTTTCAAGTTTTGAATATTCGAGGAGTTGATCTTTCAACGTTTTGAACATTTTGCGCCTTAAAGTCGACCCGAGGCCTGAAATATAATTTAATTAAAATATAACAAATTAATAATTTTAAATTATTATTATTAGAAAATAAATAAATAAATAATTAAAAGTGTTAAAGTAGGATTTTTTAGAAATAATTATGTAAATTTCAAAAAGTTTTTAATAACATTATTCAAAAATTCTAAAAAAATAATTGAATTTTGGAAGACTTGTTGTTTAAATTTTCATAACAAATTTTTCCAATGGGTTTACATTAAAAGTGTTTCGAAATTTTAAGCAAATAAAGAACAATAAGTATTTAAATATTTATTTTACAAAAATGATTAAAATTTGAAAGATTTAATTTGGAACTTCTGAAAAAATTAGGTTTTTGAAAAATAGTAATTAAAGTTTTTTGAAGGTGGAAGAAGTTAAGAATTATAAATATAATTGTATTTTTGAAAATACATTATTTTATGAATTTACAAAAATTATTCTATATAAATAATTCAATTCTCGTAGTTGAATTCTGATATGAATTGATTAAAAAAAATTAGAGTTAAAATTTTTTTTAAATTTAATTTAATTTAATTAATTTAATTAATTAAATAAAATTTTAATAAAAAAAAAAAAAATAAAAAAATAAAAAAAAATAAAATTTTAATTTAATTTAATTTTTTATTTAATTTAATTTTTTTTTTTTTTTTTTAAATTTTTTTTAATTTTTTTAGAAAATACATAATTGAATATTTAAAGCGATATAACAGAAATTTTAAGAATTAATTGAATTTAAAAAAATTTTTTAAATAAATTCTTTGAAAATTTAAAGGAAGCAAATGTAGGTATAAAAATAATTAAATTTTTATTTTAAAAAATTATTAATTACATTATGTTTCCTTAAAAATTCTTAAAGTTTTGAATAATTTAATTTAAAAAATTCTAAACAAATAATTGAATTTTGGAAGAATTACAGTTGCAATTTTTAGAAATAATTAAATTTCATGAGGTTTTTCATTAAACTTATTCGAAATTTTAATTCCTGTGAAAAAATGAATAAGAATAAGTTTTTAATTTTTTTCTTAACAAAAAGTACCTATTGAAGTTTTAAAATATAATTTAATTTAGCAATTCCGTAAAAAATTTTTTTCTTGAAAAATTGTACCTAATAAAATTTTTTAAAAATAATTGTGTTTCCTAAAATAATTTTAAAAAATTGAAAATGTTGTCAAATTTCATTGAAATAAATTTAATATTTTAATAAATTTTATTTGTTTACTTTTAAAAATTATTTTGAAATATAATCGTATTTTTGAAGAATTCTAATTGAAAATTTGGAAAATAATTGAATTTAAAAAAATTTAGAATAAACCTATTACCAGGATAGTTCCAGTGGTCCTCGAGTACCATTGGAAAGTTCAATTATTTAACCAAAAATATCTTACATTCAAATTGCTGTTAGAAATATCTTGGCGATTTCTATACGAGTTGTTCAAATAATTAAATTTAAGGAAAAAGTGTTAGAAAAATTATATTTTTTAAAAAATGAAGAATTTTCATTAAATTTTAAAAAGCAAATCTTTTAAAGTAACAATGGGAAAGGAAAATTTAGTCTTGATAGTTTTTAATAATTTAATTGTTCCTAACTGTTTAATAATTGTTTCAGGAAAATTTCAGCAGATTGAGAGACTTGGATGAAATTGAAAAAAGTCAAAATAGTGAATCAAATGATAGATTAATTTCCTCACCTTGAATAATTTATGGTGTATGCGTGGAATCCTGAATTATTTTTTGCACCTGGCACTTGAAGAAATTTCCACACTGCACTTTATAGAATAGATTGTAATGGAGATAATATATTCGAATGGAAGTAATATATTAAAATGCATTTAATATATTGAAATAGAAGTCAATATAATAGAAGTCTTAGAAAAATCCACAAAACAATGAAAATCGGAGTAATTACTGAAGCAATGAAGGTAAGCTTTTTGGCATTCCATTCTGACGTTTTTGGAGGTAATCTATATCGAGATACAAAAGCACTCTAGAAATGAAAGAGATTTTAAATATTATTACAACTTTTTCAAGGAAGAAATTTAATTCAAAAGCTATATTTACCCATCCTCCGCTTGTTTCAATCCAAAGGGCGAGATCTTTTTCGACAATATTCGCAACCACTTTATGAATAATGGGAAGAAATTCGGGTTTTCCTTGTCGAACACAATCCACAGAAATGCCACCAGCAACCGCGTAGATTGCAATAATTTTACTCCAAGTGATGTCGTGACGAATAATTTCTCGCGATACGTGAGTCATTGTATTACCTACCGAATAATCGGAAAAACATCCGCATCCCACTTGTCTTCCAATTTTCACATAAATATTCGGATGCTCCTTCTCTAATTCAGTTCCAACTGCAATGAGCACTGGACAAGCCTCCTTGACAATTGTTATGTCCGGCAATAATGTTGAACTTCTCATTCGTTTCAGACCCAATTTTCGATGATAAATTCCTGATCTCTTTAATCGATTCCGAATGTACTGAGCGCAGAGAGCCGAACTCTGTGTATTTAAATATTTTTTATTTCTCCAAGATCAATTTTTTTAATCATTATAAAAAATTTTGTAATGTAATTCTTTGTAATTTTAATATAAAGAAAGTCTTTTATATTAAAATTACAAATATTTGGAATTTAAAAGGGAAAAAGATAAAAAAAAGTACTTGTGAGACGGTCTCTTCAACGGGAGCAAAAATAGGTTTCCATCCAATTGTACGAGATAATTTTCTCGAAACAACATCGCTTACATTACTCAATCTTCGGCGTGCAAATTCCATAACATCAGAATTTGACGAACCTCCGAAAATTACGTGATTTGCGTGAAGATTGGCGGCGAGACTATTTCGCCTTCGTCCTCGAGTTCCATTGACATTACCATGAAATGAACTTAATGAATCCTCAAAATTTTTCAAATTCGCTATTGCCCTTGACATTTTAATATTCAAATGAAATGAGGATCTTTTGTCTGAAACAAACACAGCAATAAATCATGAAATTAAATTGTTAAAATGGATTTTTTTTCGAAACAAATAAATTTTATCGAAAATAATAATTAATTGATGAATATTAATAAAATATTAAAATATTTTATAGCCATGCGAAGTATTTCTTTTTTTTATCTCATTATATTGTTTTGTATTCTGACAAGTACTGACGTATTTTACATCTGAGTAAATCGCCTTAAGAATACTTAAATATGGCCCTGAATTTATAGATTAAATGGGACGTCCAATTAAAAACTTTCTCTAATTCATAAAAATTAGTTATTTTTCAGTTTCAAATTATCTTTACAGAAGTTTCTAAATATTCTACTTGAAAATTTTTCTTTTAGAAAAAAAAAAAAAGATTTATAGGGCTGCCACAAAAATTTGACTTTTCCCTGATTTCCATAAAGAACTTTGACTTTTTCTCTGACTCTAAAAAATATTTTAATTCATTCTAAAAATAATTAGATATAAAGAGTTTGTAATACATTTATTTCTGAATATCTTTATTTGAAAAATTATTCGAAATGTCAACAGTTTTTTTTAATAAATTTTTAATCATTATTATTATTTTTCCACAGGAATTAAGATTTTAAAAATGTTCGATTCCTTCAAAATTCAACAATTTATAAGAATTGATACTGTAACTTATCCAAAATTATTTTCAAGACATCAATTCAACTATTTTCTAGAATTATTAATTAAAATTCTTCTCTAACTTAACTATTTGGAATAATTTTTGAGAAAGTTTCTTAAAAATTCAATTAATTATTTAAAGAAAAAAAAAAATTTTTTTTAATTCAAATTTTCTAAAATTTTAATTTGAAATTCAATTATTTGTAAAAATAGTAAAAAAAAATCTATTCAACTATTTTTTTAAATAGTAGATATTTCTTAGAACTTTTTTATTATAATTTTTTGAAATTAAATTATTTAAAATTTTTTTAGTAAAATTATTTAAAAAATTTATTAGGTTGTCTTTTTAAATTGAATTCTTGCGACGAATATTATTATTTATAAAAATAATTGAATTCTTGCGAAAAATTTTATTAAAATTTTATTAGAAATAATTGAATTGATTCAAAGAATTACTTTCAATACAATTGTATTGAAAGTAATTCAATTGTTTTATTCAAATTGTCTTCAAAATAATTGAATTCCTGGAAGAATTTTATTTTTTTTTTTGAAAATAATTGAATTTATGCAAAATTTTTTACTTATTAAAATTGTAGGGGAGAATGGGGAGTTATGAAGCATGGGGAGTTGTGAAGCACGGCCATAGATCTCGCATAGTAATTGTTTTGATAGATGTCACTTACTCTCAATATTTTTTCACCTAATATCTTCGTTTTTTAATTGGATTCATTTCGATAGCAGATATTTTGCATATCTTTCAAGACAGTGTGTTCAACTTTTCGTTTATAAAGTTTTTTTGAGTGTTCCTTTTTGTAGAATTCTTACAAAATTCGCGAACAAATCAAAAAGATAAGTTCACCCATATAATAACCAGCAATGATTAGGTTTTCGATATTCAAAAGGATTTATGCAAAATCTCAATAAAGAATATTTACCAAAAAATATCATTTTTAGCGATTTTTAGTAGTGCTTCACAACTCCCCATGATTTTTAAAAACTTGAAAAAGCAGCTTTTTGGCCCAACTGAAAAAAATTGTCGATTTTATTTTATTTCATGCAAATTCTTCAACCAGTAAGCATATTTGAAGACCCTCTAAAGATTCAAGTGGAGAAAATTTAAAAAAAAATTTTTTTGAAGTTACAACTCATAAACAAAGCGTGCTTCGTAACTCCCCATTCTCCCCTATTGAAAATAATTTGTAAAAATTTAAAAAAATAATTGAATTTTTTTGAGAAATGTTATTAAAATTATATTCAGAATAATTAAATTCTTATATAGAATTTAATTAAAATTTATTAAAAATAAATGAATTCTTTCGAGAAATTTTATTAAAATTGTCTTGAAAATAATATAATCTTTTTGCGAAGAATTTTATTACCTTTTTTTTCTTTTTTAAAAATAATTGAATTGGTTTGAAGAATTTTATGGTAATTTTGTTAAAATAATGAAATTCTTTTTAAAGAATTAAATTAAAATTTTTATTTTGGAGAATTTTATTAAAGTTGTATAAATTCAAATTTAAATCTGTAAAGTTCGATTATTGTCAGAAGTAGAAGAAATTAAAAATTAAATTAAATCTTTTCAATATTTTTAAAGACATAATAATAGACAATAGAATTCTGAAATTTTTATGTGAATTCTAGAAATTGAATATTTTTCCAGTACTTTTGATAAAATTTTCTGAGTTTTTCCTAAATTCCCTGACCTGTGGTAACCGTGGGTTAATTTTTGAAATCGATTTTTAAGCACTTGAAATTTCTATTCAATATTAAATTTTAATTAAACAAATAAAAAAAACAGAAATAAAATAAAAGCGACTCAATTCGTAAATTTTGAACGAATAGCAAAAAACAAAATGAATATTAAAATTAAATAGTAAGTAAACAATTATAGTGAAGGAGAATAAAACAAAAACATTCGGACAAATAGTTTTTAAAAATTAGTTTACTGATGGGTGAATTTATTTTTATTTCTTGATGACGACTGTTTAGTTATTAATTTTTTTGACTCCCTCAAGAGGAAATCAGTTAGATTTCGAAACGTTGGAGTAAACTAATTATTCTCCTTCACTATAATTACTATTTCTCGGACGTAAAAGATTGATTAGTAAGTAAACCTCGGCAACCGTCAGAAAACATTGAAAAATAGTTCCTTTACTCAAAAAAATTTTGACGAAGACAAAGAAACACATTTTTGGCACATTTTTTAGCCTTTGCACTTTAGGGGGTCGGTATGGGACCACCCTCCCCTACTTATTTAGAAAATAATTGAATTCGTGTGATAAATTTATTGTTAATTATGAAAATAATTGAAATTTTTTAACGAATTTTAATAAAATTTTTAAAAATAATTGAATTTTGTCGAAGAATTTTGCTATTTATTTATAAAGATAATTGAAATGTTGACAATGTTTTAAAGATTTTTTGAAAATAATTGAATTTCAGAGAAGAATAAAATTTTAATATTTCTAAAGATAATTGAAATTTTGACGAGAATTTAAAAAAATTTTTGAACATAATTTAATCTTTGCGAAGAATTTTATTACTTTTAAAAATAATTGAATTTCTGCAATCATTTGTAATTTCTCTAAAATTCTCCAAATTATATCGTACAATTTACAAACTTTTCATCCTTTTTGAATGAAATTACGGACTTTACGGACCTTTTTTCAAAAAAACGGACTTTTACGGACTTTTTCAGGATTTACGGACCTACTTCGAGCCCTGAGTAATTAATAGGTAGAGATATTAAATAGAATATAGATAAAAACAATAATAATAAATAAAATTCAAATTATTAGAAATTGGCGCGGTAATGATGAGTTTCCAGATTCTTAAGTCCAACGCACAATAGGTTCGCGAAAGTCGATAGACAAGGACACAAATATATCTCTGTCCTTTTCTAACTCATGCTTTGCGTTCGCGAACGACTTTCGCGAACCTATTGTTACAGAGTTACATTCCTATATATAGCCATAATGAAAACATTTAAAATGTTGAGAATAGATACTGGTGAATGAGGCTTAATACCCACATGTTCCGTTGTCATGGTAACCTGTCAAAACAAAAAGATGTCACAAGTTTATTGTCACGTACACAAAGTAAATAAATATTTCACAATAAATGTAATTATTAATTTTTCCAAATAGTAGTATAATTAATTTAATTTAATAACTATAATTTATCACAAAGAACAATGAGATTTAAAATTTCATTACAAGAGAGAAAGAATAGTATAAAATTAGTAACTTGTGTTGCATGGAGTTCTACAGATGAAATATATTCCTGCGGGTTTGTAATTTTAATTTAAACAATAGTATCAATTGAAAGAGTTTGCTTTTTTTGTATAAACAAATAGAATATTCTATTTTGATAAATTATTTTCTAATAAGGAGAATTTTATTCTTTAGTGAAGATCATCAATTAATATGTTGGCACTTGGAGAGTGGAATGTTAAATTCCTCTGTTGTTGCGGAATTCCCTTCAGACTTTTATCCAACGGATATGCAATATTATCCTCGACCATCTCAAACGACAATTTCTTCATCAAAGAAACAATCGTTGGATGTTCTCTTAATAACAACTACAGACGGTTAGTTATTTTTTTGAGAATAAAATACAAATTTTGATAATTTAGTAAAATTGTAATTTTCTTTTTAAAGGGAAATTTTATTTGATAAGCAAAAGTGGCCGAATTGAAAAAAGTGTATCTGCTCATGTAGGCGCAACTCTTGTTGGAAGATGGAGTTACGATGGTTCTGCATTTTTCACTGGTATTAAAAATTAAATAAAAAAAAAAAAATTAATATATTTATTTTTAAAGTAGTAAAAGAAAAAAATTATAAAATTATTTTTTTAAATTTACTATAAATTTAATTACTAAGTAATGTTTTCAAAATTTACTTATAATTTATTAATTTTAGTGGCCAAACATTCAACGGCCGAACAATAATTAATTTCATAATAAAATAATTGATTTGCAGCTGGAGAAGATGGACTCATTAAAATATGGTCACGTAGTGGAATGTTACGATCGACATTAGTTAGAGGAACGTTACCAATTATGACAGCAGCCTGGAGTCCCAATTCTTCCGTGATTCTTTATTCTCAAGGAGCTAATCTTATTTTACAATCACTTAGTTCAAATTCAAAACCACAGAAGGTAATTTCTTGTTTAAAATTTACACAGAGTCGCCACAGGTCAGGGAAATCAGGGAAAAGTCAGGGATTTTTATTAAAAGTACTGGAAGAAACTAAATTTTTAGAATTCATAAGAAAATTCTGAATTTTTTTGTCTTTTTCGTTTGCCTCATAAACTATGAAATTATCACGAATTCTAATACAA